CGGATAACTTAAAAACGGTTTTTAAATTTTCCTTGTCCAAAAATAAACATCAAAGCTTTATGTGACAGTGGCAAATTTTCATTCATAGACTATGACTATAAGTGCACGCACTAACATCAAATCTACCTGGCTGCTTCTAAGCCAGTCGTATTTTGCCTTACGGCTTGTAGTTGCCCTGTCTAAAAGACTGGTTGTGCCCCTTTCTTCACCTCACGGCTCGCGTTTGTGCCGATAGTTGTGGAATAAAAATAGATTTTCTACCCTTATCTGAAGGTTATGCTCAAGACAAATGAAAATAAATAGGAAGGACTGGACTTGAGTAATAAACTCAGCAGCATAATTTGATCTCATCCTTGAAGAGCATCATGCCCCTACTTTTAATTCACAAATACGCACATCTCTCTTATTAACGATTCTAACGCCTTGTTGCTTTCAGTCATCAAGCAAATTCAATTGTTCTTTAATAATCAACCGTGCCACAAAATAGCCTTAATGGCTATAAACAGACGTGTCGATTTTATTTTGGAAAATAAATTTTGCTCACATGACCACTAAGAGTATTAATATGACAGATTTTTACTTTCATCGCATATATGTTTTCTTGATTGCCTATATTAATAGTTTACTCACTGATTCACGACTTATTTTTCTCCGATGTGTTAAATTAGGTACCTACACCGATAATCAAATATTATTTTACAATTGAAAAATTTCCAGATAATACTTTTACTCGATATTTATTGTTTTTTTCTATCCGATAATGCCAACCTACTTCCGGATAACTGACGTTTTATATAGGATTCACTCCTGAAATTGGGATATTCTTATTGTGATTGAGCATAATGATGCTTAGATAAGGACTTTCAAAATTTTCGGCTGAGGTCTATTAAATAGCTTCTTTACACAATTGTTATTAGAAAACTTAACATGCATTATTTTTTCATATAGTATTTTCATTAATTCAATATGGGGCGCTATAACAGATTTTTTACTTTAATTTTAGCGCATCCTCTTCTCTTACGACTCAAGGATCCTCAGCGCCTACTTCAACGGGGCTGTGTTTATCATCCTTCTATACCCGCATCCTCGACATCGTCAAAATCAGGAACTCCCGCCATGCAAATTCATGCGATCATCCACTCTCTTTGGACTCGCAAAGGCCATCCTGCTCCAACTTCTATGGGCACCTTCTCCTCTTCTCCTAACTTTTTATCCTCATCATCGTCTACTTCCGAAGCAATCGGCATAGGTTGTATGGAGTCTAAGGTGTCGACAATTCGGACACTAAATGCATCATCTACCAACCCCCCCACCAATGGTTTAGGTGCCATCTATTCATCTCATTCCACTACCAAATCCTCCTCCACCAGCAGTATCACTTCCACTTCATCCACAGGAAAGAGACGAGCATCAGACAACGAACTCCTTGATCAGTCACTTGATTCACTTTCTGCCAAAAAGTTGAAGAGTAGTCTTGCTGTATCTTCACCTCTTTGCTCGGCACTCTTTGAATACCCTGATCTTGAGCAGCCGATTCGCGATGCGACTACTGCCGAGATAAAATCCAACTCCAAACAACCTAGTGGCAAAAGCATCACTACGATTGGGGAGAATGAGGAAGAGGAATACGACGGGGAGGCCCTAGAAGTGGATTCTTCTCTTACTGCAGTTGGGAAAATTGCATCCCACAGAATTCAGACTGATGCGACCACGGGCACAGTTAAAGGGACAAAAGAGGTTCCACGAGGAAAGCAGAGTGAAGAGGAACTACCGTCCACAATCCCGCCAACAGCGGCAATGACAGGCGCTACCGATAGGGCTGTTGGTGTCTTTCTCCCTAATGGTGGAGATCTACTCGGTCTTGCTACGAGTGAAGTCTTCAAAAGGAATAAAACGATCACTGCCTCAGCAGCAACAGGGGACACGAAAAAGGATATTTTTGCAGGAGAGAGACTGGACGAAGTAGTTAAGGCAGAGGTTGCAAGCGAAGAGGTGCACGGGCAGGACGAGCAGAAAGAAGAGTTAGCGACACGAGATGAACTTGGCGGAGGTGAATTTGATGAATCAGAGGCCGAATGCTCACCGGGTGAATTAAAGATCTGCGATGCTTTCTCATCCAAACCCGGCGCCGGTGATGACAGTATTCGGACTGCTCTGTCAAGTCAGGAGTCTGAATCAGTGCAACTGGCTTCATCGGAAATGGTTGTGGCTGGGACAACGCTACGAAAAAAATTATTGCCCTTGCCTGCAACACAGTCGAGTAAGCCGTGTGTAGCAAGTACAATCTCCACTGGTCAGGATGCTGTATTGATTGTAGAAGAGGAGGTAATGGGAATTGGGCTGCCGTCGCCTGGGAAATCAAGACCGGCTAAGTGCTCCGCTGCCAATGGCTGTGTCTAAACTCAGCAAGATTGGTAAGAGAATACTAATCAATTCTTTATAGCTATTTTTCTTACCCTGTCTACTTTTCTGTAAATCTCCACAACCATCTACAATTATCCTTTTTACTTTGCATTTTGTACTTGTTAATGCTTTGCAAGAAGCTAAACCTTATTTTTCATTTTCTGGATAATATTCGGAGCATTTTGGTTATCTTTAGGATCCATAAGCATCTATGAACCCGTTCACTCAAGAAAACATTCCCCCTTTCAAGTTCAAAAACAAATGGTTTTTTTACTACTACTTGCATTACTACTTATACTATTATCATTATTATTATTACAGCTTGTATATTAGCTGTTTTATATTGGATTTATATTAAAACTGATCCTATTTTTTAAGTAAATGTGAATACGAATGTGTATCGAACGATCATTTTTCCTGAAGATAAAGACCGCTTTATTTGTCATCATAGCCAACCATCGTTTTGGAATTTAAATCTTTATTCTTTTTTCTTATGCTTTTGCCAACACAATTTTATGGCTTGCTAAGTCTATAAAGCACCTTTATGGAGCAGTCTAGATAACACTGTTTCGCTTATTACGCATTTATTCTCATTGTTTATCGTTCGCACCAATGGCTCGGCCAATTCATTTAGAATTATAATATAGTGAGTTTGATTTCTTATCACTGCTTTAAATTGTCGACACTTAAGTGATCGGAGCTATTTTTCATAGTTCTTGCTTAAAAAAACCTGCGTGACGCCAGGATGCGATGTATTTTGGGGCTTCTCACCGGATCAATACATCCTCTGTTTTTTACAATAGTCAAAACGGTAAACACATATAGGATTTATGATACATTTTTTAAAATTTTGGCGTACCTTTATTTCGTTTTAAGAGCGAGTTAGGTGGGTCTTCAAATTAGCCTTATTTCCGGTATAGCTAATCTACAAATCCTTTCAAATTGCACGAATATTACTCCATTATGAGATTCTTCTAAACGCAACTATTTACAAAATAAAAGCCCAACACCACATTTTCTATAATACAAGTTCAGTACACTTTAATCTAGATGACATTTCTAAATTAGATGTAAATTATTCACAACCTGACTCGGCATTGGCCTTTCTCATACAAGTTTTGATTAATTTAGTAATACATGTCTTTTTGGTTCCGTATCACTTTTAGTTTTTAGCACCGAATCGACCAAGTATTCTCTGAAACCTAACAGTTT